GACCCCGGATAGGCGGAAGAAAATGGATGGATGGATGGATGGATGGATGGATGGATGAAGAGCTTCTGGTGAAAAAAGTGTGTTTGTGGTGGTGGGGTTGTTTAATTGTGTGAAAGCTCCAGGAAACATGATTAATTTAATCTTTAGTTGCTGAGGCTGTCAGAGAAAATAGTGTGTGAGGGATGGAGGTGGGATGCCATTTTTTTATTGAAAACAAGATTTTAGCTTGGACTGTTTCTGTTTAATTCTTTTTACACCTTAAAGTTTAACAGCTCTTAACAAAGAACCACCAGGTGAATAGTTAAATACAGTACCACTGTTGATAGACCATGGCATAGGACATGTTGTATTTTCTATTTTGGAGTTTTTCTGTCATTAGATTTCTCACTGTTACAGACAATGCTAATACGTTAGGTGTTGTTTCTTGACACCAGCAAATATGTAAATAAGTCATAGTCATGTCTTATGATTTATTTGACAGTCATTGCTTGTTAAGCTGTAAGTGCATTTCATTGAGCTATAATTCAAATACAAAACAAATTGATGATGATGATGATGATGAAAGCCTTTATTGTCATCATTTGCACAATGAAATTACATTTAAGAACACCTATTCAAGAAGACACATACATGACAAAAACATGGGGGAACAGGTAATCAGATCATGCAGCAACCAGTAGGGGTTGCGCTATCTTTAAAAGGCTTGGAATCCACACAATAGGAAAGATGAGTTTAAAAAAATGCTCTGATCCTACATTTACACAGAAACATAGAATCAAATGCTAAAAAAAAACCCATTCGCATAGTGCAAGTCAACTGAGGAAGGGAGGGGGCTGGGGATCAAACACATGGTACGGAGTAGGATGCAGCGGAGCCGGTGACGTTTTAGGTTAATACTTAGCGCTGGAACCAATCAAAGACCTCCAGAGTCCAAAACAAGTTGTTATCAACCAAAGCACAAATCACCAGAGTTCAGTTCTCTGTCTCCACCCATCGTGGTCTTCAAACCGATCCACCCGCGGATGAAACGGGTAGGGGATGGGGAGTCAAGCCTTTGTTTCACGTGCCATCCTGGGAGTTTTTGATAACTGCCGACCCAAGGTCAGCAGCTGCAGGGATCCAAAAGATAAACATAACTGTTTGGGACAAGCAGCCTTGATTTTCTCGCTGCTTTTAAGTCTTAACTGCATCTCTGTGATGGCGAAAAAAATGCCAATGTTCTGAATTTCAATTACCTCCTCACCTCTTTCCGTCTGAAACATCACCCAGGTTTAATCCTACTCCTCATGGGCTTGCTGCTGAACTGTGATTGTCATCAGAATCACATCCAGTTTGTAACTTATATCCCCCAACATTTGAGTCTGTGAGTTTCCAGTACGGGAGATTCCATCCAAGGTCCCTGACAGCTTCTCACATGCCGGGACTGCTGTCAGGATCGCTTTCATTTTCCGATAAACCAGGACTCCTCCACAGCCGATCAGCAGGAATCCAGTTATCATAAATCCAAATATGTATAAATCTTGCATGCCTTCAATGGAAAGCGGCGCCAAACAGATCAGGTTCCAACCCCAAGAAGCAGACGCTCGCCCAGCCGTCACCATTCCAACGGGACAGCTGCGCTGCGCTCCCCATGCTCTAATCTCAAAATGGAAAAAATAATGTCGATTGCGTTTAGAGACCAGTTGACCAAATCCATAATTCCTTTTGTTTTCAGATGATAGGTATAAGAAAGGCTTGAAAAAGCTGAAAAGCAGGGAAGGAGTAGCCTGGTAAAAACCAGACCCCTGTTCTTCACTTTGCTTCGTACAGAAGCTCTGGACTCGCTGCTATTGAGAAGCGATTTCTTGCTGGAGGCGTGGCCTCTGCTGAAGTGTGTGCGTGTGTGTGTGTGTGTGTGTGTGTGTGTGTGTGTGTGTGTGTGTCATATTGAAGGAGGCTAAGCTAAGAAGCTAACCGGAAATTGCGTGCGCTGTAAACAACCATACTGAGAGGAGAAAAGTACCGAGCCGAAC